ACTTTGTGTCTCCTGAGAAACTAAGAGGTACCTTCCTTTTTAAAAATGTATTTCATTTTTTGCCCTTATTGCTAGAAAGCCATAATTATATTTGATTGGTGATCATTTGCTTCTTTTTCCTCTCCCTCGTCTTAGTTTCCTATTTCTCTTTTCTAGTAACTTTATTATGTGTGCTTTTTCTAAGTTACTCTAAGTTTGTTTAGACTGGAAAAAAGTTACATATGAATAAACAACATTTCCAGGATAGAAAGAAAAATGCAGAAAGTGGGATTAAAAAACCATTTGCTATTATTTTTCTAAAGAACATATCACTAAAACACCACCATACACGTTTCATCTATTAAATGTCTTTCAGCTAAATCTGGCTACATTTTTAAAATATGAAATGCTTATTTTCTTTAAAAATATTTTAAACGATTAATTTTGTAATTGCCCCTAATTATTCTCTACTTCTAGCTGTAGTGTCAAAAAGCATTAATCAGAAAAGTCTGGATCATAAAAAGACAACAAATACCCATAAATATTTTGTTTTTAAAGATTCAACCCTCATGTTTTTCAAGATTAACTGTAAAGTTTTAGCTCCCATTTTCATGGTACATATAAATAATTTAGAAATTGCAACTATTAAAAAGCTCCTTCCTAGGCATAAGCTAAACTGTAAACTGCATGGCCCCGTGGCTTGGTGGTTAAGTGAGCGCGCTCCGCTGCTGGCGACCCGGGTTCGGATCCCGGGCGCGCACCGACGCACTGCTTCTCCGGCCATGCTGAGGCCGCGTCCCACATGCGGCAACTGGACGGATGTGCAGCTATGACACACAGCTATCTACTGGGGCTTTGGGGGAAAAGTAAATAAATAAAATCTTAAAAAAAAAAAAAAAAAAACTGTAAACTGCAGCAGAAAAACAATTACTTACACGAAAAGGAAAGCATCCGATTTTTAGCACCTCTGCTAAGAGAAGTCTGATTAATGAAAGAATTTCCTGAATTTTAAGAAACCTGATAATACCCATGGCCGTGTTGACACTGGAAATCAAAATGTTAGCAGAAAGAAAACTATAATCGCCAGCAGTAAATATCTCAGTATAATTTGCATATTTTGGAAAAAAGGGTTAAATCTGCAAAAGAGAATATCTATTGTGACCTCTCAGTCAAAAGAAAATTTGGAATGATCATTGATGAGAATATTGTTTGCAGGAAAGGCATCACAAATGATTGTGTCACTTGATCAAATAAATATACTATTAGATATGGTTTTCATGAAAGGCATTATAAATGATTTTATCACTTGATCAAATATACTACTAGATATTAATCGGGAAAAGTGGCTGAGTATTACTGCGTGTTTGGAGGGGTTCAATTAATTACCCCTTTCTGGTGAGCTCACTGACGAAGGACAGCAATGTCCTGAGAGCAGGACCAGCTCACAATTTCTCCCAAACAGTAACCCCATTGACCAGACTAAATAACACCGTCAGCAGAAGAGCCACTCTGCCCATGGGGAAAAGCGAAGGAGCAGATGGAGAAAAGGACAGAAACTTCCTTCCCAGTACCAGCGAGAGGACAGCATTAAAGAGACATTTGAGAAATGTGAGGGGGGAAGAACGCATAATCCCCTAACTGCCACCATTATTCACCCCAAAATCTTTATATACACTTACATTTTTTCTTAATACTTTACCAATATTTAAAATTATCTTTTTTCATGAGAAGCTCCTCTAGCAGAATTTTGAGCTCTGTAAATACAGCCACATGTTTAACCTTAGAAGAGTTGCAGGTCCTGTTCTGCCATGTCTTTCTTGACAATCCTACCCAAACAGTCCCCATCCCTAAGATACTCCATCACATTACTTTGCTCTATTTTCTTCACAGGAATGAATAAATGGAAGAATGTCGTAAGTTGGACCACTCTTCCTACACTTGCTCAAATCTCAGTAAAGGATAAGATTGAGATGACAAATAACATGGCAACTGTGGTGCCACTTGCCCACCCCATAACAGCAGACATTACACTCATCTTACTCCTTGTCACCAAGTCCAAGGGGGCCCTCAGAATCCTGATCAATACAGTTCCAGGCAGCTGCTCCTGGGCAAGCTGAGACCTACGTGATGGTTAGGCCAGACTCAGACACTTCAGCAATTTACTCGAATGTGCTGTTTCTTCCCATTCATACTATTCTAACAAACTTCACAGGCCTTGAGATTGTAATTTCAGGGTTAGTATTTTAGTTTCATCTACGATACAGACTAAGGGGAACTCTGGATACCTATTACTGGGGGACATATTAAAGGAATCTGAGGTCCTTGCAACGTCATCTTGGATTTTAACACTCTCAAGAGGGGTTACTGGACTCACCATAGACCTTCTAAAATACAGTCTCCAGTCATGTTAAATTAAGGCAAAAACAAGGGACCTCTGTCTTGCTTTAAGGAACCATAATAGAGAATAGAGGAAATAATCTAACTCAAAGTACTTTCCTGGATCAAGGGCAGAAGATATAACTCCTTTATTTAAGAAGATTTTAGAAACTAAATTTTGTCTTAAAGATCTTCTAACGAGAGGGTATAATTTGAACCCTGTCAAGTTTTTTCTTTTTCTCATAATTTCAAAAGACTCTATTCTCTTCAGCAGTAAACAACCCCCTCCCCTGAAGTATTCAAATCCCCCTATTTGAATCCCAGCCTGCTCATTAATTTCACTTCAAAAGAGTATCACGACACCCCTAAGTATGAACAAACTGAGTAAGCAAAGGCACATTTATATGACTCTACCTCCTCTGTTCCATTATTACTGCCATGGAATAAGCCACGGATTCTTACACTACAACAACAAAAGATTACTATTAATCTCATATAATTTTCATGTGTCATAAAATATTACTCTTTTTTTTCAACCATTCTTAGCGTGATCCACACAAAAACAGGCAGTGGGGTGGATGTAGCCCATGGGCCATAGTTTGCTGACTCCTGATTTAGATTAAAAACAAAAACAAAAACAAAAACAAACCCTCTCCTGATTAAGTTATATTTTATATAAAATCCCATCACTATGAGACTTGGGCCTCTTTTTCTCTCTTAATTTAAAATCTAATATATTTCACTTCATTTATTTCTTTGTTCATTAAAAGTAATTCCCTGTGTCTGACTTTGGTCAAATGATCAATTATTCATATAACATGGGAGTTACTTACCTAAATATCTGAAAGTTCACATATTATATAAAGTTACACTCTCACGGGCAATTTATCTAGAATGTCTGGGTATTTTAATTTCCCTAATACGTTCCAGAGTACTAGGATATATTTCTCACACCTTACAATATCTGAGGTGTATGAATGATTTATCGAGAGGAGAATAGTAAAGAGTCAACAGAATGGCTGAAAGATGCGTAAGGGTGGATGAGATGAATATTATCATCAATGTCTTTTTACAAACCTTATTTCTCTAAAGGGAATGAGCAAGGCAAACATCTGTGTTGAAGTAAAGATTAAGTAATGCTGAGTTACTGAGAAAATAGGAATAAATATGAACTGGCAGGAGAAAAGTATTTGTTGAATGATAAATAAGAACATTTTCCTCTTAGAAAAATGAGCCCAAATACAGAATTTCCAAGGAGATGGTATGAGTACTCACTTTGGTTGGGTTTCCTTGCTAACCAGCCCTCTGTCTTCTACTGGTTGAGGAATTAGGACATTACTCAAATTTTTGTAGGTAAGATAGGGAGCCCCAGGTACTATATCAGTATCTGGTTAAAAAGGAGCTGAATCTACAGTATTTTTGTTACACTGTCTAAGCTTGTCAGCAATACTACCACCCACTGTCTAGGATTTTACCACCCACTGGCCCAACCAAAAAGGTGGAAATTATGCAGATAATTTACGTAAGAAAAGTATGAGCTATCTGGATTTTCTTCTTTTAGTCTTCAGAACACCATGTGTGCCTCTGCACTACCATCAACAGAATGACAGTGGACTTTTTCACTGCATTACATTTGAAATTAACAAAAGCAGCAGCATAAAATACACACAAACTTTAAGATGGAACCAACTACTGAGAACACAAAGCAAATTTTCTGTTGTCTACTCTACCTACTAAATAAACTCAAGGCTCCTACTTTCATTTTTATGGCTAAAAACTGAACGAAAATTAAATGCCTTGTTAAGTCTATTTTCTACACAATACATGATTGTTTGCAATGTAAACTAATCCATGTTCAGGCTTACTGGTAAAAAATAAGGTTGTAAACTTCTACTTTTAGCTTGTGAAATTCATTTAAATGACAAGAGGTATGATTTTTGAATAATAATGAAAAAATCAATATTTCATCGCCTTATTAGGATCATGTAGCAGCACTGTGGCCAAAAAATGAATAAAAGAAACAAAGCCAACTAATTTACTTTGAAGAAGAATGGGCTGCTGTGATGATTCTGTGAAAATTAAACAGCAAAATTTGGGGTTTCCATTTCTAGTTTTTTCTCAAAAAAAAAAGAGCAGACAATTAAGACTTCAGTTGTTACTATTATATACTGTTTCACTAAGCCTTCGGCAGTATCTTTGTTTTAGAGGAACAGAATAAAACCATGTGCCGTCTGAGCAAAAAGAGAATCCTCATTCTTTGTCATGGTGATACAGAATCCGTACTTGAGAAGGTATAACGTTACATCCACCTGGGTGTAATATGGCAGTTAGTACATTCAATCCATAGTTTCTTATTTTTCAGATAACTAGGACCTTCAGAACTATGCAGAAACAATGTCATGTGCTGGCCTTTAACAAGGAGAAAAAGAACAAGAAAAAAAGGATCCTCTCTGTTAAATAAAGCCATAAGCATTTACTCTGAGGAAGAAACCACTAAAAATTTGAAACTGAAGAATTCTTAAAATAAAGCTTGACCCTACACGTTAATAGCTGGAAAAGGGTTGTAGAGCTCTAAATCCCTCAGGAAAGAGTAGAGAATGTTAGCTTTAATTCAGTTCATTCTAACTCAAAACGTTTATACTTACATCTTGTCTTGGCCGGCACCGACTCTGAGAGTCAATCTGGGGATAACTGGACTCGGGGACGGAACAACGGGCTCCACTTTTACCTGTTGAAGTTTGTACATCAGAGTTAAACACAGTTTCTTCAACAAAAGTATCTCCTACCTCTTTTCCTACCTCCTCATCTCAACAAACTTGATCAGCAAGTTTAAGCCTCAAATGTGGCTAAAATGCTAGAGGCAAAGATAATCTGCGCTATTTCGTTTTGTTTCTCAACAACTGAAGGCTACCTGGCATCATGAGAAATTCTAAAAAATTTAATCACTTTATGTAAATATGTGAATTATTTCTTTATTTTCTTAGTTTTGGTTAATTTCTTGAATTTTTGCGTTAGAATTCTTTTAACAAAAATTGTTATCTAGATCATTCGGTGAAACATTTAAGTAACTGCCAGACATAAACAGAAAAAAATGCAATGATATCTCCACTGTAAGATAAAATGCATCTATTTATGGGATGTGAAAAACATTAAACTCATCTTAAGTTTGCACTGTTATTTAAGAAAACTGAAATACCAAGTGTACCTAGAGCACTAAACTGTTCCATTTTTTGGCTAGTAGTAAAAAGATCTAAAATACTGTAAATGAAAAAAATATATATATTTTTAGAAAGGATTTATGGTGAAGGCAATGACTGCTGAATAAGTTGTAGATATCACAAATATTTGAGCTAATAGTTAGAAAAGGAATATACAAATTAAGTAAGATGTTAATGAGGTTCTTCACAATTTTTGATTTGAAGATCCTATGCTATAATAAAACATTTTGGATGAACAAACTGAAGAAAAGCTCTGCAGCTCAAATTATTCTCTGTATCAGAGTTTTTCAACAGGGGTTTTATTGGCATTTTTGGTGGGACAGTTCTTTGTTGAATGGGACTGTCCCAGGCACTGCCAGATGTTTACCATCCCTGGTCTTGGGGAACTACTATATACCAACAGTACATTGCTAGTCACTGTAGCAACTAGTTGCAAACCACTGACATATATTTCAATCTCAAGAATTAAATTGTAACAGAACAGTGTGGTGGTTATAAAGGGGAATGAATACTTAACATAATGCTCAATATTTTATATCATAATTAATATATTGCACATTGATCAAATCTACTATTTTTTCATGTTTTCACCCATCCCTTTCTAGAGTTTTTTTTTTAATACACTGTTACATCAAGATCTATGACTTCGACCATTCTCCTGAAGAGTGCATGGTACATAGGAGGTACTCAAAAAATATTTATTGAGAGGCCAGCGCAGTGGTGTAGCAGTTAAGTGGGTGTGCTCCGCCGTGGCGGCCCAGGGTTTACCGGTTCGGATCCCGGGCGAGCGCTGATGCACCGCTTATCAAGCCATGCTGTGGTGGCAACCCAAATAAAGTAGAGGAAGATGGGCATGGATGTTAGCCCAGGGCCAGTCTTCCTCAGCAAAAAGGAGGATTGGCATCAGATGTTAGCTCAGGGCTGATCTTCCTCACACACACACACACAAAAAATTTGTTGAATTAACAGCTTCTCTTGCAAGCACCCTCAACTCCCTTGCCTCTCAGTTATTTCACTATTTGTCCAGGACCAATTTAAAATCATCCTTCAGAGCACTGAGAAATTCCAAAGAAAACTTAAAAATCATGTAAACTCCCGCCATCAAAAACTTCAATTTCATCTATGCTGTCAGTACTGTTTATTTGGATTACCAGCTAAACTAGGTAAGGGCAGAGATCATGTCTGTTTTATTTATTGCTATTTCCTAGTGCCTAACATGAAGTCTGACACACAATAAGCACCTAAGATAACATTGAAAGAATTAATCTGAAGCAATGATTTCAAACATTTACTTCTTTCAAGACCCATCCCATGATTTCCTTTCCTCTTTTGCTCTTCAAACTCCATAGGAAAAAATAGTGAGGCCACTACGCAGGAGAACTCCAACTCCCTACAAACTTACAAACTTCTCTGCATCTACAACTATACTAGAGTCCACCTCCTCCAGTCTTCTAAAGAACCTTCCTCCTTATTTATAGCATCATCAACTTCTCAGTCCCATTAATTATTCTCATCTAGCCTTTCAACGTGCTCAAATCTATCTTTAAAAAACAAATTACCTCCCCTTCAACGTCTAGCTGACAACCTCTCACATTTTTCAGTCTTCAATTCACTGTCTCTTTCTTCACTTCATCGTCTCTAATTCCTCACTTACCATTCATTCCTCAACCCACTCCCATCTACTTTCTGCCCCAACCATGCCACTAAAACCACTCTTTCCAGACTCTATTTCCTAATGTTCCGGTATGTTTTTCCACTATAGGTCTTATCATGCTCCTTTCTTTTCCTTTAAAAAGTCCTCTACTTTGCCTGACCTTACTGGGTCCTCTCCTCTTGTCATTCTACAGTGACATCATCATGTCTTCAAAATCTCCCTCTCTAGACTAGCACTGATAGAACTTAGGACCATAATATAATATTGCCTACTGAACATTTTCAACTAAATATCCTTTAAGTACTTCAATGCATCACATCTAAACTTTAACTAGTCTCACTTTTGGCAGATGTCTCCTTTACTTGCCCAGTTCTTGGGACAGTCCAGTCCAGTGGTTTCCCTCAAGGCCATAGGGCGTCAAGAGTCACTGAGGTGGGGTCAAAGCAAGACCCATGGATAACTAGCTAGGGTTTGTGTTCACTTTCTCCTTTTTCTTGAACAAAAAGTTCCATATCTAACCAAATCTGAAACACAGTGGTCAAGTCTATTTTGTAAACTATTAAGATTTCTATATTTTCCTTATCTTTCTGTGTTATCTGTGGGAGAATAAACAAATAAATGCAAAACAAACATTTTAAACCACTTACTATTTACCAGGTATTGTGCTTGGTTATTTTTCAGATGTTCTCATTTAGGTTTTTTAACAAACATGTGGGGTAGATATTATGGTTTCCATTTTACAGGGAAACTGACCATATATGAAGCAACCGTTTTTCCTTCCTTTTCCTTTTCCTTTTTCTGTTCTAAGGTTACACAAATAGCAAAGCTAGGATTAAATTCAGTTTTTTTGATTCAGACAATGAAAAATTACATGAAGTTTCTATTTTTCTAAAAAAATTTAGGGTCACATACTCATAAGTGATAAGATATTGGGAGTAATAGTCCACATTCCTCCAACCCACAATACTATTATTTAAGCACTTAACCTTTTGGTAAGTTTTAGTTAAAAATATAGCTGTTTGCTCTACTTAAAAAAAAAAAATCTTTACTAATATTATGCTTCATATTGTATGCTTGGTCCATTTCTATTACCACACTTCACAATAATAAGTCACACTTTTGTATAGCACTTCACAAAGTGTGCCCCATATACATGATCCAATTTGACATTCACAACTCTGTAAGGTAGGTGTGGAAGGTATTATTATCTCCAAGTCTTGAGGGCTAGAAAGATTAAGTGGTTTGCCCAGAGTTACAATGTTAGTAAGTAAATGATCTCAATCCAGGTCTCCTGACACCAAATTCACTCCCTGCTCTACCATACTGCTCCTCGACTCTTTGCCACACATTTTGAGTCTTTTTTTCTGGTTATGCTGATGTCTTACATGGAGCTATTCACTTTCTTTGTCAATGTCTCTTATGATGAATGACATATACTTGTGAGAAGGCTAGGGTTGGTTGTACAATACTTTCTCTATGGAAGGTGAACCATAGAATTGGAAATTGACATTAACTTTGGCCTCACCTCTATTCAGCTAAACTGGCTGGGTTTTTGATGCTGTCTTAAATGGCTCGGTAGGGCAAAAGAATCAACACATGGTTTATTAATGACCTACTATTAAAAAAAGTTAAATGATACAATATGTAAAAAATAAGTGAATAAAAATGAAGATACCTTTTATAAGTCAGATTAAAAATGGTATAAATGTGCCCTGAAGACAAGAGATATTTAGTCCACTTGTCAAATTAATGAATGATTCAGAATTCGTTACCTCAGCTCAAAGTTTTACCTGTAATTAGGGTGACCACATCATCCGAACAGAGACACCTTTGAGAGTGAAAGTGAGAGCTATTATTTACACCACATAACAGGTGTAAACTGGGATTGTCCTGGCCAAACCAGGACATATGATAACCCCACCTAAACATACTTAAATATCTTAATTTCCTTCTTAAAGAAGGTAAATCAGATTTAATTTAAAGATAAAATCCAAGCAAGTATAGGAAAAGACTAATGAGGATGTTAATAGCATAGATATAGAAAGTACAATTTCTAAATAAAAATTTCTTACCAGACTTCTGTTTACATTAACTCTATCCAAATGTTAACCTAAATAAAAACAAAGACATTTCCTACAATCACAGCATAATTTCTCGTGTGTCTGTCCCAGAAATCAACAAACTAAATGACAATTATTTCAGGTACTTAAACAGTAGAACTAGTGCCATATTTTAATGGCATGAAGCCAGAATCAGGGGACAACTCGAGTTTCTCAGGGTTAAAATAAAAGAACAGCACTTAGAGTGATGCTGAGAATTGGGACGCACAGAGAGTATTTACAGTGGATTACTAAGCTTCCCAATTCACCAAAGAGGCAAAGTCCAGTAATATAAGACTCCTTTGTAGCTAACTAAAAATACATTGTCAGTGGATTTGTCCAGTTTTATGTATAAGCAATACTTCTTTCACCTGAACTAATACTAGTAGTCATATAAGCCCCTTATTGCCATGTGCTGCATTTTTTTTGCTAATCTTCAAGGATTTAGCTTCTTTGCCACATACCTCAGGGCACCAACTGATAAAGCTCTAACTCTCCATTTTTCCAGGACACCAGCAGTGCGGCCTTGCAAAAAATGAAAATCGCTCAAGAGATTTAAAGGGGAAATTTATTTTTAAAATCCTGACTTGAAGCAAAGAGGTGGATTTTTAAAAAGCTTATCTATAAAGAATCAGTTTAAATTTAAATTCTATCTTGGAACTCTTTCACGCATTCCAGCTTTAAAGTTTATCTTCTGACAGGGACTTTCTGCAAAGGTAATGGGCAGCTTTGTCAATATAATCTGGCCAAGTTTTTA